GAAAATTACATATAATTGGTTGACATTGTATTTTTAATAACTTTTTAATAAACAACGAGCGCCGGCTAAATCCTTCTGAGGGTTACTCAGGAGGGTGACCTCTATAATATATGTCAAGCCCAAGGTTATTGGAGGTGGGTGTGTTAATCTAAATAATTACCAAATTTATTTTAACACACAAATTGTAGTTAGAAAACAGCTACATTTAATTCGATCCATTTTATGGATCCATTTTATTTCTTTCAACTCCATTGTTTAATTAAATTAACGGCACGTTGAGTAGAAGAGCAGTGGCGACCACTCACCGAGTCAAATTTAACGCTACGAATTTAACAGTGTACGGACAAATCGACCTCGAGCATCGTCGAAGCTACGCAATGAGCAGCTTCGCTGCGGCATTTTTGAAGGACGGCATTACAATGTGACCGGGACACGAGCGAGCTGCCGCGTCATCGGCAATAAATAAGAGTCGCGGTCGCATTAAATAATCGATACGGCGATTTAACGATACCGACACGTTCTCTCGTTAATTCAATCTCGCCCGTCACGTCGCCGTATACACCTTCCTGTGCGGCAATCGGATAATGGACCACGATCGATGGCTCTCGTAACGGAGAAAGCGCCTCGTTTCAAAGAGGATCCCGATACCCCCCCGCCCTGCTTCTTTGTTGGAGCAATTCCTTTCGGGAGAGTAACGTGCTTGCTCTCCGGGGGTAACGGGTCTCCTCCCTCGTTTTCCTCGCGGCGGAAAAAGGAATGTGAAAAATCGCCGGGGTTCGCCAGCAGCGTGTGCACGGCCAGAATCTGGGACAACTATATTTGTACTGAGCCGATGTACGGTTCCGATGCGTCGGAGGAGCCGAGATAAGCTCGCGAACTGCAGCCGGTGGCGCGCGGGCATCTCGATTTCTCGATGTATTGTGCCCCGCGTGATTCACAAGCGTCACGAATCGGCTAAATCGGTTAAGCGGGCGAATTAAAAAAGGTCGAAGTGTGATTTGTGCGGCCAGGTCAAACTCGCAAATATATGACCCTCCGCGCACCGAATTATATATCTCTCGCAGACGAGAGCGATAATCAAATATTTCATTTCAATTTAATTTAATCAGCCTGGCTCAACGTGCGGCAATTTATTTAAATTATTTCCAAGTATTTACAGAGATTTCAAAGGTATTGCTTGCCAATTAAAATAGCGTGTCGAATGTTTGGAGAGCTATGCGGGAGCTTTCCGCAAAGCGTCATGTCGACTTCATTTCGACACGGAAACGCGAAGGGTCGAGAGAGAAAGCTGAAGCATAAATCTAATTAGAAGAGCGCAGCCTTTATTCGCGCGAATAACTGCGTGTATATTTTGTTGCGGGGAAACTTTTCCGCGATTTTGCATACTTTGAGTTGTAACGGGAGAAAATCGGAAATGCGTATACGCGGAAAGGGCGAATCGTGAACAAACTTAAGACGCTCGAAGAAGCGAAGAGAACGCTTTCAATATCGTTTACCTTATGCGAACGGCATTCGTGAATTTTGCAGGAACTCTGTCATTACCAAGGTAGCGTTCGAGATGTTCCTGGCTCGTGGGTGGCGTTATCCACTTGCAGAGGATTGCGCGGTGTCATCTTCGATGGTGAGAACCTTCATCACATCCATCCGGAAGATGAGAGCTTGGATTCCGCGCATTACCTTTACAAGCACAGCGATCTCATTGCCAATAACACGTGCGGTAAGCATCTCGCGGACGATTAACTCGTCCCTATTTCATTGTTACGTCTCAATCTAGCTTCCTCGCAAGAATCATATATCGTATTATTAGAGGAAAGTCCTCTACTGTCAGATAGGCTACTAATATGAGATAGCGAGTTTTCAACTTGCAATTTTATAAACTTTTTTGCGACAATTATACGCGCGATATCTAATAACAGGGTGTCCAGTGGTCAGGGAAATCTGGAAAACCTGAAAAAGTCAGGGAATTTTTTCCATTAAACAGACTTCACTCCAAGGGTAATAAATTCATGGTGGAATCAACGGATGACGCCTATTAGTTGAGCGGAAACCACTATTATTATTTGTCTCATATTAGGAGCGTATCTTATAATAGAGGACTCTCCTCCATTAATGTGTAAAAAGCGGAAGGCGGGAAAATTGCATAGAAAAGAGCGATTAATACCATTAGTGCGCACCGATATCCTCGAACGTCAAGTAACGTTGAAAGACATGACTGTAAAAAGTCGAGGCGACTTTTATCTCGAGAGAGTACACGATACACTTCTGGATTTCGCGAGAGATTAATAAAGATTCGTAATTGGAATCTCGGAATTTTCATGACTAACGCAGATTGACTCACCAATACATTTGCAATTCATTCGTTCCGAGATCCGTATATCCGTCGCTCTCGCGGGAGTTTCTGTCGCCGAGGCAATTTCCACGGGTTTCTTCAAGAGCATTCACGAGCTTTGACTCGCAGAGAAACACGACCTTTAACACCTTTAGAAGAAAGTGTTCTCTCGCGGCGAATACGAGCCGGGCCCTCCGTCCTTCTCGGTGGCAATGCCCCACGCAGGCTCAAAGACTCGCCTCGCGAAGACTGGTCTCTCCTTAACGGTCTTAACGAATGTGAGAGCAGGGCCCCGACCGCGAAGACTCTTTGTCCTCTCCTCGGTCCTACCGAGAATCCTGCTGCCGACGATCGTGTCCCTGTTTGACGTTTTTCCTTGGTTACAGGTTACGAAGGCACGCAGCCACACGACGTTCTCCCTCGTGATCATCGCGAGATTAAAAGGTTCTCCAGGGTATGTATACAGAGCAACAGCAAAAAAGAGACGGAAAGAGAAAAAGGGATTGGCGCAAACCGCCTCCCCGGTAAATTATACGACTTCAAAGAACGTAGTCGCAGGGGTCTTGGTACCCTCAGTGTCTTGCGCGTGTACCCTTCTTCCGCTCTTTCCTTCTTCTTACCGGGGGGGACCGTGAATAGTTGTAGCTCAGGCAACTCGTCTTTACGAGAGTTTTTAACAATTAACGAATTATCTTAACGCTGAAAGTTCCTGGAAGTCAGATTTCAAAAAGAGTTAATTAACATCTGCTGTTATAACGATAATTTTATTTTACCACCTGGCATTTCTGTTGACGAGTAATGAGTTGAAGTTAAAAGCTAACGCACTAATTTTAGGGTCGATGCGTTTTCTTTTGCAGCACAAAAGAGCGGCTGAAATTATCCGTGGACCCTACAACGCGAACAGGCAGTCGCGTTACGTTGAGCTGGTACTCGTAATCGACAAGAAGGAATACACCGCGCTCGACGAGAACCTGGACAAAGTTCATCAGCACTGCAAGGACATCGCCAACATTATCAACGCTGTAAGTAACGTCGCCGTCGTAACTTAATTGGACGTGTAATTCCTTTCGACCTTAAGTCGAATGAGAACGATCTGAAGCGCGCGGCGCTAATTCAACAACTCCATTATCCAATTAGTCGTTTCGAACATTTGCGGCTTCCTTCTAAAATATATATCTCTAGAGTGTATATCTAGCTGTTCTATACGAATTTTACTTTATGTGGGGTAATTGGCCGTTATATGCATAATTATATTCACACGGATGTGCGAGTCTTCCTCCCCCCCCCAAAAAAAAGGAAGTACGTCGACCGCGAGAACTTTAATAAGTCTCATTAAAATAATTATGTACGATCCACTTTTGTAAACGTGCTTTGCTTAATCCGTTACATTCCGTTGTACTCCAAAAATTGTTGTACAATCGACACATTTTCATTATTAAATTGAAAAATATTATTTTTCGATATATATCCAATTTTTCCAGACAAAATTTTTTTAACAATAAAATTTCAAACTCGCTAATTCACTTAAAAGTTAGCGCGAAAGTTGAGCTCTGTTTCCTCGAGAAGCCTTCTCGCACAGCTGCTTCCATTTTTAGTTTTAATTTATCAGCAATGACAATGACGGATCTCAATTACAGACCTCCAATATCTCCGCAAGCGAGAGAACGCGGGCGTCATCCTGTATATTCTGCGTTCTCTGTGACACAGCGAGACAGAGAGAGATTAATTAGCTCTGACTCGACCTTACCGCGATACCGCGAAATCTCTATGTAAAATACGGGACGGTATATCTCCGTGTGTTTCCAGCTGTACATGCCGTTGAACATATTCATCGCCCTGGTCGGCGTGCAGGTCTGGTCCGAGTCGGACGAGATAGCGCTCTCGCCGAACGGCGACACCACGCTGTCGAATTTCCTGCGTTACCGCAGGGAGAAGCTGGTCCAGGATATCCCGAACGATAATGCCCAGCTGTTGACGTGAGTGTAAACAGAAACGTACCTACACGTTATGCGTTCCATCTATCTGGCACACGGTGATATTTCTTTCCCGACAACAGGCGAATCACTTTCGACGGCGGCGTAGTCGGCAAGGCTCTCAAGGGACCGATATGCACCTACGAATTCTCCGGTGGCGTCTCCATGGACCACTCGAACGTCGTTGGCTTGGTCGCAGCCACCGTCGCCCACGAGATGGGCCACAATTTTGGCATGGAGCACGACGGACCGGATTGCGGCTGTCCTGAGGAGAAGTACGTAGTTTGTCTCTCCCTTAAACATTCAGTGTATCGAAGCATTCCATTTTATTTTACGATGTACGATAGTAAAGATTACCAATGTCACAAATCGCAAGTTTTCTGTGTAATATACTTGTCCAGCTCCAATTATAATATGTACTAATGTATCATCCTCGTAGATGTATAATGGCGTCGTCCAGCGGCTCGTCCGGACCAACGCACTGGTCCACATGCTCGTTGGAACACCTTGCTCTCGCTTTCGAGCACGGCATGGATTACTGCCTGAGAAATAAGCCGCAGAAGCTCTTCGACAGTCCCATATGCGGTAATGGATTCGTCGAGCCGGGCGAGCAATGCGACTGCGGCCTGAAGGAGAACTGCGACAATCCCTGCTGCAACGTGACCACCTGTATGCTGCACAGCAATGCGAGCTGCGCGACCGGCGAGTGCTGCGACCTGAAGACCTGCCGGCCGAAGACCGCAGGCACGGAGTGCCGAAGTGCTGAACACGAGTGCGATCTGCCGGAGTATTGCACCGGCCAGAGCGAGTATTGTCCGGCGGATGTGTTTAAGATGGACGGCGAGACCTGCAGCGTGGGCAAAGCCTTCTGCTATCAAGGCTCGTGTAGGACTCACGACGATCAGTGCAAACTGCTGTGGGGCCCCACCGGTTGGTCCTCTGACGCGCAATGCTACGAGATGAACAACAGGGGCAACAAAAACGGTAATTGCGGCTACAATCGCATCGAGCCGAGTTTCATCAAGTGTAACGACGAGTAAGTTGACTAAATCATATGCGAGAGGCGTATCGCGTTAGATCTTGTCGTGAGCATGATGGGTGTGTTGTAGAAATCTCCTCTGCGGCATGCTGCACTGCAAACACTTGAACGAACGGCTAGAATTTGGTATGGAATCGGTCGCCACCCTAAGCCATTCGTTCATCAATAACGGCGGCAAGATAATTCCATGTCGTTCGGCCATAGTCGATCTCGGATTGAGTCAGGTTGACCCTGGTCTCGCACCGGACGGCGCCAAGTGTGCACCCGGAAAGGTAAAACTAATATTTCCAGCAACGGAGTTCTTTCGCGCTTAAAATAAATATACAGAGTAATTGCCGAGTTACAAGAGAGATAAAGATACAATGATGTTGAATTAAAATGAGACTCTGCTACTGATTCCTTAAACTTGGTGTTAATCTACACTTTGATTATAGCTATACAATGATAAAGCTATGTGAGAATTTTAGATTTTGCATTGCAATATTGTATTTATAAAACGATGAGTGTATGTAGTACGTAATCTTCGGACAGTTTGGGTAATTATAATTTATTTGCATTGTTTAGATGTGTGTAAATCAGAAGTGTATGTCAGTAGCGGATCTAAGAGCGTCCGTGTCTGGCGGTAAAGCTTGCCCGAATAATTGCAACGGTAACGGAGTGTGTAATAGTCTTGGTCATTGTCATTGTAATCGTGGCTTTCGACCACCTGACTGCCTTCAGCCTGGAGTTGGCGGCTCCGAGGACAGCGGTCCAGCCGATGATCCTAACGGTATTTATTTTATGTCTAGCCTATTAATCGATAAGAAGCAGACGTACTTTTTTTCCGAAAATTTTACTGAAGGAAATAATAATATCTGAATGAACTGAAAAGATGTTTCAACTCGGAACATGATAGTTTAAGATTGGTATTTCGTCGATGTCAATTGTGCTACATGATGTGTGTTTTGTATGTTTTAAGCGAGAAACGATTTCATAACTGCCCTTTACGTTATCTTCCTGGGAGTGGTGCCCGCCGTGGCTCTGCTCCTATTCGGCGTTTGGTACGTCAGGAACTCCGGACAGCACTGGAAAAAGGATGTGATGTCTACGTACGTATCTAGTCTCGACCGTTTTAAAGAGAAACGCAAACCGCATGCCAATAAGTCACTACGTGTTCCTACGTCAAAGACACATTTCACCGGTAGCAAATTCCTCGGATTGCGAATAGAGATCTCCGCCTATTTCGCGAAGAAAAAGAATACCTCTCGTAACGCTAATAAAATATTCACGATTAGTGACGATGTCACTCTCAAAGAGCCGCTTCAGATAACTAAGGCTGATCTGATATCCACCACCAATCCGGATGCTATTAAGTGTAGCAATGCTATCGAATATAGAAAGTCATTGTTGTTCTGCAACGTAAAGCCGGACGTTAGCGCAAAGCCCCAATCGCACGAGGTTTATAATAAGATGGTGACTTTGCCGGTACCCGCTGTTGAAGTCCAACCGAAAAAAATTACACTTAGATCGGAATTAGGCTCCAAAATATCGGAGCGTATTCAGCAGATTCAAAAAAGATCGTCTAAAAACGATAAAGGACTTAAACTTAACACTGAATTGAAGTTTGAGCACTTGAACGAAAGCCCGGCCAGTACATCCGACGTTACTCCAAAAACGCCGGATGCATTATTTAACAATTCGAAGGAGCCTGCCCCTTTTTACAATAAAAAACCGCCGCCCCCACCGGCACCTGCTCAAAGCTTAAAACCAAAGATCTAAGCGATTTCTTATTCGTTTGTACGAATCTCGTTATGCGCAAATATTTTGACGTAGAAATTTATTACGTATTATTATTACAGAAATGTGTTACTTGTGTAGTGTATTTCTTATAAATTTTAAATCTATATTTAAAAATTTACAGTAATAGAGCTTATCTTCAAATAAGATGGATTTGAAAAGAATCATTTTGATTAAAGTATGTTATTTTCAAAGATGGAGGTAAAAAATTTCTTTTGTATGGAACTTCTCAATATGAAACTTCTGTTATTTCAAAAGAAATGTCGATTCGTTGATGTCACTGAATTATCGATGCAATATTATTCTTTATATGTATTTTTTAAATAATGAATATGAAATAGAGATCATATACATTTAAGAATTGTATTCAGTATAGTGCGAATATCGTAGCGCATTTTTTTTGCGAGCTATGATTTTTGCATTATAATATGGGAATTCGAAAACGGTGGTGGTCTACATAGAAGCAATATTTCGACATTACTGATGCCAAGATGTATTAAAGTAATTCCTTCTGTGATTACAACTGCTGATAGTCGTAATAATGCTCCAATATATTGTAGTCAAAATCATATTAATATTTTTACACAAACTGAAAAAATTAGATTAGTAGCTAAGCATTTAAATTTATCATGTTTATACCGTTCACCATGTGATCAAATCTGTTCTAAACAGATTTTTTTATACAATAAGTAATGATGAAATGTAGGATTTTACGTGTATTGATGTGTATATTTTTTTATCTAGTTCATATTAAATACATTTTTCGTGCAATATGATTGTAAACTTTGAAAGTCTAAAAATGTGACTATGATGAACAGCATTTTGTTCTTATCAACTTTGTTTTCATCAATTGTGTGCTTGTACGCAAACTTACACTATTTAATATTTAGAGAGCTTAATTTTACTAATTATATATTAATTACACAAAAAAGTGTTACGTATGAATAAAAGCAACTTTTATGCACAGCATTCTACATCACAATATTAATATATGTATCTGCTTGCAATGTGAATATTTCTTATAACAAAAAGTTTTTTATTTATTAATGTATCTATGGCTTCTTCGTTCACGGTTTTCAAGTTATTAATCCGTCAATGCTGCGCACATTATGTCACTGATATTACATAAAACTAGTTACATTTTCAGAACAAAATACTGTTCAAATTTATATATGGAAACTATAAATTTAATATGAGCATATCGCGCCGTGCCAGACGGCGAGGATGATTGGAGAGATTATTTTATAACATACAGAGCATGTGCAGAATCATGTTATGTGAGCATGAGCATGAATAAAGATTCTTTTCTTACTGGCTCTTTACATTTTATGAAAATCGATAATTTAAATTAGATGCTATATTAGACATTCAGTTTTAATCATCATTATTTGATTTATAATAATTATAATAATAATTAAGAAGTACTTAATTTTAATTAAAAAAACGATTTTTTTTATTCTTGACTCATTCCTTGGATATAAAATTCTGATATCCAATAATGTTACTCATACTTAGAAAAATGAAAATGTACAATTTTATTATTGAATAAACATAGTATTGATATATAGTGTTTTTAGTCTTCCTTTGTAATCAACAATTTCCTTCTTTTCCAACGCTTGCTACTAATGTCTTAATCTATAACTAACATTTCCCGGCAATTTTCTTGCCTGTGCATGTGTTTGGACTTGCGGTGAACAGTTACATATATTTGAGAAGAACGCTTGTACATGATTATTTTTCGAATGACGATTAAATTCATGCATGTGTTGGAGCATACGTACAACTAAACTGTAGTACGTAGTAGAAAAACCTCAAATTTACGTAAAATTATTTTAACATTTTACTACGAACACATTTCATTATCGAGACCTGCACAACGCTTACGTCCTAATTTACGCAAAATGAAAAAGTTCCTTGGTTAAATCTGTCTTGCTACGAATCAATATGTATTCGTTAGCTGTTTAACGTAACTGCGTGCTTACAAATTCCTCGATCCCTCCGCTTATAATTCTGCTTCAAATTTCAGGACCGATCGCAGCCACAATGGATTGCTAATCAAAACGATCGATCGTTCCAGTCCCATGTCCCGTAACATCGAGACGATCGATTCTAGTCTGAGTCAGGATCCCGCGTGCGTGAGTCTACTGCCTAAGGCAGAGGCCGACGAGCGCTACAACAACAATATGTTCGGCCAGTTTAAAGGCTTCACGATCACGCCGATCCACTCGAATCAGTCGAAATTGGCCGAGCCGACGAAACCGGCTCCACCTCCGCCGGGATGGATACCCACCGTGGCGATAAAGACGAACGTAGTTAAGCCGAGCGTGCAAAAGTGCAATGTGCCGCAAAAGAGCAATCTGTCGAGTTCCAGCGAGCCAAGCTCGGTCGCGCCGGCATTACCGCCGCTGAATCCCGGTTCTACGGCACGACCGTTGATCAGCAGTCCCGTCCTGGCGGCCACGACTTGCACGTCCGTCGAATTGGTGACCAAGGTACCCACCAGACCTGCCCCGGATGTGCCTACGCGTCCAGCCCCGCCACCGCCGATCACTTCTGCGCCTTCCGCGAAGCCGCAGAGGCCCAACAGCACGCCCCTGACAAACGTGATCCTGCCAGAACCCGAGAGGAAGCCGGACAAGGGCAGCACGCTCAATCGTATCGCGTCGATGTTGCGCCCTGGCTCCAGCATCATGAGAAGCAATTCCCAGAGCTCACAGAGGGACGACAAGAACACGAATTCTCTCCCGAGGAGTCAGCATCACAAGGCTAACAAGGTCATCGACAAGGAGATCCTGAGGAACCTCGAGATCTCCAATCCGATACCGCAGACGCAGATCGAGATCACGACCCCGGTCATCCCGGTGATATCAGTGGCCGAAGTTGAACGGAAAAACGTGGTCCTGCGCGCTCAGTCGATGAGAGACAGCAAAATTACGAGACCGCTTGTCCACACGTTTGGCTCGATGCGCCAGACGACGCCCGCCAAGAGGCCCACCAGTATTCCGGCCAGCACGAGGCCCACGTCGCCACCTCCGGGCCCGCCGAGTATCGCGCAGACGGAAAGGGCCGCCGAAAGCGCGATAAAGATCCCGGGGCTGCCGGGCTATCAGAATCCGCCAGTGAAAACCGTCCCGAAGCCGCTGGAGAACACCTATGACGACTGCATGAACTTGATCGCGGAGTCGTCCCTGACGAAGATCACCGAGGAATCGCCCACGAACGATAATATCTACGCGGTGATAGAGGAACCCGTGCCTGAGAAGAACAGAAAAAACGCGGAATTGGAGATAACGGCGGCTGATAACGAGTATAAACTGCCGAAACGCATCGACACGATGTCCGGTGGTCCCAACAGCCTCGAATCGATGGGCTTACTGTCGGAGATCGTGTCGGAGATATCGAATCGTAATTTCGACTCCATATATTCCACCTCGACGCTGACCAGAAAGAAGAAGGAGAACAACAGGGAAGACGCGACGAAGAATTTGGAGAATATAGGCTCGAACAACTCCCTCGGTGGCTACATGAATTCGAGCCACTACAAGATACCCGGTGGTATTTATTCAAACTCGGCTTCCGGCAAATTTAACTCGTCGAGCTCCACCACCAGCTCCGGCTACCTTCATCCATCCGTGATAAACGTTCCGCAAATGGAAAGGAAAGAGGCGAACAAAAGTATTTCGGACGCGAACGACAATTTGAAGCCGGTCGACAAGAGTAATGTAAACACCCTCGCGTCCAATAATCCTAATATAAACGACGAGCTGTCGAAAGAGCTCGGCATGAAGCCGCCTGAGAACCACCCTATAGGATACAAACCGTTCGCTTCGACGAAAACTCGACCGTCTCATTTGATACATATCAAGAAGGACGACCAAGCTGAGAGCAAGATTCCGGCCAAGCCGCCGTTCAACAGGACTAAGACGCCCCCGAACATCGCGAGGAGCCCGACTTGCAAAGATACCCCCGAGTCGGGCGTGAAACTCGCGAGACAAAGTTCAGATAATACGTTAAAATCCTTGAAATCCTCGAAAACTTCCGACGCGAGTTCGACAACGGCGAAACAGAGCTCGGATGCAAGTCCAACCGCGAGACAGACGCAACTAAACGCAAGCGAGTCGAGTAGCGACTTAGATAAGGAGGAATCACACACAGCCGTATCTGTCAAAAATGTGCCTTGTAGTCCTAAGGATAGCCTGGGGAAGTTCAATAGCCCGGATCTGGTCTCGAGCTGCTCGAATTCGAATCAGGGTGGAACGAAGTCGCCGGACGTCGTGGGCAGCAACCCCAAGTTCAGTCTGCCGCTGAAGACCGTTCAGAAGACACCCACACTGCCGAGGGGCGGCCAGAAGACGCCCACAACGCCGTTGAAACCGCTAAACGTTACATCGAAAGCGGCCAGTTTCTCGGAGAGGAAGAAGTCTCCGACTGGCAGCGCGAGCGTGCCGGCCAAGTCGCTGTCACCAACCGCCAAGGAGGCGAACAACGGTGGCGCCAAACCGTCGCATTTGACGCCGAAGGTGGTGTCGGCTAAGGCGGAACCGAAAACCGGGGACGGAGGTGTGGCAACGAGGACGAATCCACTGCAAAGAGTGGCGAGCGGTAAATCCAACGTGGCGTCGCTTCAGCAAAAGTTCGAGGCCAACAAGAGCAACTCTGGTGTCGCGAGAACAATGCCGAGTGCGAACGGTAAGAAGTTGGTGGCGCGGATGACGGAAGTCGGTGGCAGCGGAGCGAGGAAATGAACGGTCATCCGGAAGAGGTGCTCTGGCACTCCTGCCTGACGCTCGGACGTGCTCGACGGGATTGAAAAAGCGTTTAGGGATCACGGCCAGGGAAATCTATACTTGAAACATTCTAGTCCATCACACTGAATCGTTCTCGATGGAGGATGCGCGATATATTGTAAAACGGATATACGCGTTCATGGTAAACGAATACATCGCGAGCATGCACGAGTATAAACGTAGATAACGCGCGAGGGCGATATCTCTCGGTAACTTCTTATTTAAGAATTCTTAAACGGAAGTTTAAAAAAAAAGAATAGTACAAGGATCGAGTCTTTTCCTCTAAGATTCATAAAATCGCTAATTTTACAATGTATTTCTCGATTAAGATAGGGTCGCGTGCGGCCGCATGAGAGACGCGATATTGAAAACAATTGTAAATAGTGCCCGCACTTGAAAATTCTCATATTTTTTGTAGAGACTATCCATTGCCGGCGTTCAGGCGTACCTATGTAAGCCAATAATTACCGTAATATTTAACTTAAGGCGTTTTATAAGCGACATTGCGAGGTAAGCGACAGCGTTATTTTCGAAACCATCGCTTGAAACTGAAATGGGACGTGTACGGAATTAATTGACCTCTGTGATATATGTATATGTATAAAGAAATATTGTGCACAGAAACACTATTATGCCACATTGTTACGGCTAGCAGATTTTAGACGCGACCAAATTATTTTATATCATAACTACATACATAAATCGTACTGACAAAAATGCGCCGTTAAGTTTTCTAAAAAGGAAAAAGCCATCGGAAATCGCAGTCATATCCGACGCAGCTCCGTTAACAGAGGGAGGGAGCAGGGTCCCTTTTCTTTCCAAAGATTAAATATTTATGAGAGAGATCAAGATGCAAGACCTTGTACCTTCGCGGATCCCGTGGGAATCAAAATGGAAATGCTATTTAGTTAGGAGAGTCTAGATGTTAGCGCACGCGCTAGTAACGTAACACTGCGAATCGAGCGAAGGTGATATCCTCCCGCCAGGCGAGGAAATATCTCGCCTCGGTCGCGCGCAGCGTCGCGCAATCTATTACTTTCTCATTGTCCTTCGCGTAAATCAGTAACAGAGGCTTGCTTCGTCTAGACACAAAGACTAAAACTATTTATTTGACTGATACCCGTTGTAAATATACTACGTTCGTAAGATATAGGCGTATAGAGCTGAGGTTTTTGTACCATGTACCTTTGCGCCGAGAATAAGTTACGTAAGTTACCCCTACACGCGCATTATACACGTACGATCGCGAGGAAGAGGGACGAGCAGCTTCTTGAACGTCGAGTCCATCGTTGAGGTGTGAAATCGAGGAAAGCTTTTATTGAACTGATGAACCGGCCGAGCTGCGTTCGTGCATTTACTGTCCCCTCTTTCTTTTTCTACCCTTCCGCGCAGCGAATTCCCCCGTACGAATCCAGTCGGCACCTATGATTCGTAGCGTTATCCAGTTTGTAATAGTTCCTACATGCGGAGCGTCCAGAAATCATCCCACCACAGAGTTTCAATAAAGAGGTTCAATAAAGCTTCTTGACCATTTACTGTGCATTGCTTTTCCCGCTCGTTTCTTCACGCGCGAGACCTAGTCGTGTGCGTTAATTGCTTCGATACGAGGACAATCAGACGTTCGTGTTTAGCGTACGGCGTGCGAGGAGGCTTGCTTCAGCAACCCCCGCTCGTTATTAATGAATAAGTATTGTTCGCCAGAGTATTCTTTCAAGAAAAATACAAAATAGTAGTGAAGCAAACGTTAAACGTCGCTGAAAAGAAATTGTTGAAAAAGATGTTGGATGCAACGAGTGGTTCGCCACCAATTGCGACTGTACAATGCAAATTCGATCAATTGGCTCGAGTACAACGCGCGACGCGACGTCTTACACCGTCTGGCAAAAGTGACGGTGAACAAGACTACGTTGCATACTATACATTCGGTACCAAAGATAAGTGGTATCCTATCGGCACTGCTGAGATAAGCATTACAATAATTAACTACCTAGCCGTTGGTTTGCGATAATTGTGTACATTGAAACCTATAACGATGTTACAATAAAGTCTCTATTCAAATTAAACGCTCTCCTGAACCACCCTCTGCATTTCCGGCACTGTGGCGGAAATTAATTAAATCGGCTCGCACGTCGTGGAACGAGTAACCGGGCCGGCTTTGAACCATGGGTACGGTAAATTATACAATGCAAGATGTAGAAGGATGAAATTTTAATTCTTCAGCGCAGACCGTAGCACCGCCTCGACATTTACGTAACGTATTCCCGATCGATTTTCAGAGCCTGACGTTTCCTTAAAGAAGACTGACTGCCGACTCGGGAATAGACGCCACTCTAATTGGTTGAATCATAATCGGGAGTCTCTACAGTCTGATACGGGCTTAGGACGATCTTAAATAAGGTCTGCACCCAAGGAGAAATTAAGTCAAGATGACGCCAATTTGTTGTCATCTTTGGGTGACGACTACGAATACGGCCCCTCATCCCTGATGGAAAAATTTTGCTGAAAATCTAATGAAATTGATGAAAAGTGAAATGAAAGTTATTGGAAACTTGTTGAAACCATTTCAAAAGAAATCATAAGCTTCGTTATGAAATTCAGTGAAATACTGTGAAATTAGATGAAAGTTAATTAATATTACTAAAAATTTTAGAAATGTTGTATATTATGAATTTGCAGAATTTCACTGAAAATAAATTTTTTAATGAGAAATTGCTGAAATGACAATGAAATTGGGTCAATTGCAAGAGATTTTTCAGCAAAATTTTTCCATCAGGGATGCTCTACCTGGGGAGCTTATCCGTTAGCTTCACCTTCGCCAGAATTGACTGAAAGCCACGAGCATATTCGTTTCCAGCGAAACGGTCGAGGCCGCGCGAGGTCGCCTGGACGAGAGAGCGCCGGTGATCGCCGGCCCTCTCCGTACGGAGAGGGAAGTCGTATCCCGCGCGCTTCCCCCGGCCTCGCGGGCGGCCGCGACGCGACGCGCGCGCGCACGTTTCCGCGCGAACAAAAAAAAATTGGTTTTCGGGGGGAGAGAAAAGAAAAGGGAAACGAGCGCGCCGCCGATGGCGCGCGGGATCGCGGGCTGCTACGCGGATCGCGGTCGCCGTGGTGCACATTTCGTCGGGGCCGCGAATCATGACGCTGACCCCGAGTCGCTCGTGACGAGTCGCTATCCTCGTAAGTAACTTCCGGGGGTGTTGCGGGACGGGAGGGCGGAGTAGAGCGAAGCGGGGAGGAACGGGCCCGCAAAAACTCCGATGAATCGCGGCGGCCCGTTCGACCGAGCGTCGGGATTTGATTGCCCGAATTAATTGGCTAACCTACAAGTATCGCGCTTCCTGCCCTCCCGACTGAGTCGACCCCGATTTGTCCGCCTCGCACTGTGCTCGCGTCGAGCGACCTCCGTGCGGGCCCCTCGGCCCGTCGACGGGGACTCGCCGTTTCGATCGCGACCGTCGCCACGTTTCCCAGTCCGAGCCACTCTTTCAATTTCAGAAGGCCCCACGCTAATCCGCTCGTACCTGTTGACATGGTGAAGATGGCATATGCACCACTCTCCAGGCTCGTATCCAGAGACACGATGTCCAGCATATGCCCGATTAACATAAAGCCCACCTTGTCTGAGGTAATTTGTACCGCTGTGGTTCTCTGTTGATCGAAAGGGGAAAAAGCTGTATACGAATGCCACAATTGCCATGTTAGATGGACGCTTGCTAATTATCAATTTTTGTATTATTTACTGCATGTTTGCGTGCGTGTGTTTTGATTGGTTTAAATTTGTTGCACAATTGTGACGTTACAACGCTAATTGACAATCGGGCTTTGCAGGTGTTGGAATCAGACTCGGTGAAACGGCTTTTCAATCAACCAAACCTCGTCATTAAGACAACACCTTTCAAACCATTGGCCGAGGTATCCGACGAGGGTACGCCCTGGCATAAGAAGAACGGTGTGAGTACAATGTTAAATTACACAAGACCATCCGAACTGTCGGTAGTCTCCGTCAGGACGGCGGAGGAGGAGAAGGAAGACGCCAATCTGCTACCTTCGAAAATAGAGCATAAGAAATCGGAGATAGTTCTCTTTCCTATTAAAAAGAAATTGTGCGGTCATTACGAGCCGTGCGAAAATATCGTTTGCGACGTGACGCTGCAGCAGTATGCGGACAAGGATGGCGTATCGCCCATGTTAGCGCTGAGCATAGAAGAGAACGAGATAAACGCGCCGGTTGAAAAGCACTGCGGAAACGAGAGTTGCGACGCGTTGAGCATCGACCACAATCGCTGCCGCCGGGCGATAATAAAGTTACACAGGTGCGACAGATCGCACGCGTGCGACATTTGCGGAGTAACGTTTAAGGAATGGATACCTCGGATATACCACGGGAATTGCACGCGGAAGAAAGAGTACGTTCACAACAACGTGAACAGATGGCATTTGCAGAAGGAGCGGATGCGCATGCGGGAATTGCAGATCCTGGAAAACGCGAGGATGAAGAGGCATGATTACTCGGATCCCGCGAAAGCGATAGAGACGCTGCGAAGAAACGAGGAGCTGATAATCATTCCGCAAGGTGTATCTAGTCAACGACCGATTGTCATCGCGACCTCGGTACCTAGCACTCAATTGATCAGCCCGAATCTGATTAACGCTCAATCCGTCAAAATTAATTCGCAGTTGACCACGAATATGTTCGGAGGCGGGCCCCTCGCCATTTCATCGCAGAGCCTCGGCAGCGCGTTGTCTTCGGAGGGCAAAGTAATGTCGACAAGTCGAGTGAGGTTTTCAAATTTGCAACAAAATTCCCACGTGGGATCCACTTTGTTTCCGGCTGCAGTTCAAGCTCGAACTCGGGTACCAGCTTCAGCCTCGGCTCCAGCTCTAACTCTAACGCTAACTTCAGTTCCAACTCCAGTTGCAACTTCATCTCCAGCTTTAGCACCAGTTCAAACTGTAACTCTAGCTTTAGCTCCAAGTTCAGCTCCAGCTCCAGCCCCAACTCCAGCTGTAGCTTCAGCTTCAGCTTCGACTTTAACTCTGACTCTAGCCCAAAATTCGGCTACAGTTCCACCTCTAGTTCCAGCTCCGGTTGCAGTTCCACCTCTAATTCCAACTTCGGCTCCCGCTCCTGTTACCACTTCCTCATCTGCTCCGGTTGCATCTTCGCCTAAACAATACATTCGTCTCGCAGTTTCGCCTCAAACTACCACTGTTCAGCCTATAGCGATAAACAATTGGATTGTATCACCAGCGCACATTTTGACGACCATGCCCGATCAGTCTAAAACGTTCTTGGCGCCGGTACGCGTGGTGCCTATAGCCAACTTGATAAGCCCGCCGTCGTTGTTACATCGTACGCAGGGTATCCCAAAGTTCTGCATTGTTGCAAAAAATATGGTTACACCGGCAACTGCTCCGAAATCACCGTCCGTTCAATCCCTAGTTAATGCAGCCGCCGTTATTGGTCCTAAGCAAGTAGCCAATTCGAATATTCCGATACGCAATCCCACGTCAAAAGTGCGCAAAGCATCGAAGTTGAAAGCGAAGAAGAAATTCTTATGCGTCTACTGCTCGAAAGTTATCACCACTGATTGGTACTTCAAGATGCATGTGGCGAAGCACAAGGGCGAGAAACTCTTCTTCTGCAACTTTTGCGACGAGTCCTTCAGCAATACTTACGACATGAGAAAGCACGTAACTAATAAACACACCGGTCAGAAGGAGCTTGCGTGCGACAAGTGCAATTATACTTGCACGTCACTTGATTCTTTCAAAAGTCATATCCGAACACACGCGATAGGTCTCAATAAAGCAGACGTCCAATCGAAAAAGCAAAGAAGGTTGAAACTCTCGGAAGATAAAATAAGCCGTAAATTAATTCGTAACTCATACAGAAGAATAGTAAAAAGGGCGAGATGCGAGGATACAGCCGACAGTCCGAATAAACGCGCCGAGAAGCATAATAAATTGACAATTAACATAGGTGGCAATGCGAAGAAAGAATTTAATTTCGTTTCGGTGAAAGAAATTGTCGAACCTGAAAATTTCCAACAAGAATCTGCTATCACATCGAGATAAACCGTGCAATATGTTTTACTTTTGACATACAAACTATTTCGCCAAATATAGTTCGTTAGACAGTTGTTTGTGTGCAAGAAGATAAATATGTGGAGAAGAGCAATTTCGTTGTGCAACCAAAAAGCGTTAAATGTAAAATGTTAATATGTGTGTAATGGGTGAAGCATAACTTGGGTAAAAAGAATTTAATGTTCTGATTTCAAAATAATGATTGTGCTCTTGAATTCATCGTGCAGCCTAATAATAGAGTGTATGTGAATCTCATCGGTGTAGATATCTCTTGATTTACACAGTCACACTTTCAACTATTGTGTAAATAAACACCGCGATGAATCTGAACTGCCCAGATTTTTTTTTCGCGAATGTAACATTTGAAACTCTACTTTTACCGCAATAATTTACCGCAATTATCGTCTGATAATTGTAACGATTTGTAATTCGGTTACGTTTACACTAATAATTTTTTTACATTCCTATATTAGATACAAAATATGTATATATTATATGTATGTAACATATGCATATATAGTATAATTTTTATACAATATGTCATTTATATACTTTTAAACATTATTTACAATGTAATAGAAAATTATTTGACACTAAAGAAAACAACAGACCATTATTTTTAGGCAAGATTAATACAACATCAAATTATAGCAAAAACTTGCATTAAGCATCTATTTTGGATATTCTAAATCTCACAATGCTATAAAGTTCTTAAAAAATAACAGGAAACATTGCAATTATCTTAGTTTTTAGGATGTTTGAGATAATATTTTAGCCGAACACAATGAAATACTTTTATTCGTAAATTTTAATTATTTTTTTTACGCAATCTGTATGGAATTAAGCATCTTTGACAACTTTTAAAACATGAAATGTAACACATAAAGCATAACATGGATATTTAGATATTGTAACTTTTTCCTTTAACGTAACAACTTGTATAATTAATCTTATCCCAGTAAGATTGCATTTAACTGTGATACATTTTTCCCATGAAGATTTTTTTCTACACGATTTACAATTACATTCATCTCTATACGATGTTAATTTAAAAGTATTACCCTGAACTGTTATTTGACATACTTTTCTTTGTAACAATTAAAATGTATATTTAAAAATGTTATTCTGTAAATTTTAACAGGATGCAAATCGTAAATTTACTGGCGTATTAAAGCACTCAACGGAACAATAGGAATGACTGCTATGATGTTACACATTGACGCGTATATAATTAATACACGAAATAATGTTTATGTACGTAAGAGATAGTCTAATATAAAAGAGCCGCTTTCTTCTGAAATAGCCTTAAAATGTCAGCACAGAGTAAAATCTGTAGCTACATACCGTATGAAGAGCCATTTCTTTCAATTATAAATTAGTTATAACTTATAAGACTAGTATGAAATACTTTTTGTTTCTACTTTCCTGTTAAAAAGACATGAAACGATAGTATAAGTTACGTTTATATTTGTGATACAGTTCTATAATACTTATTGTTTTGTCTCCTGAAACAATGTTTACTAAATGTGCTATTCCTTTTGATGCGTCATATCCGTAAAATATTCAAGAGTAAATTCATTAAACATATCGTATTCGGTGAATTTTTTTTATACGACAATTGTAGGAGCAGAATAGTACAAATGTGAAATTATGAAATATTTTAAAGAATAAATTTAAGTTTACGTTTATGCATATACATCGTAAAATATTCACTATATTCAATATTTGCTGTGCTCTGTCTTGTTGCTAAAATATGAAAAGGATGGTATTATTGTCATGCGATTGTCATAAGATATTTTATTACGAGATATCACATCTATCACTTGTTGAAGATAAACGAATGTTCCTGAATGCGAAAAATCAATGAAATATTGAGTGCCTTGTAAATCAGAAATTTTTTCTAATATAGGTAGTCGTGTTTATTTTTTTATAGGCCCAGATAACCGTTTGCAGAAATAAAATCTGTTTAAGCATGCTCTATATTTGTTTCCTACATTTTTCTTCGACATCAATTCTGTAGATATACATTCGCGTTGCGAACATAGGTATTGCTGCTTACACACGTTTTAGTGGTAGTTAGTAAAATCTCTAATTAGCAGTACTGAATTTATGTATCTTAACGTAGGGACGTGTGTCTTTATAATGATTATTCTTTACATTTATAAATTTAGTGTCGCAAAACGATGGACGAAATGTGTTACCTACTCTGACGATACATATTTCTCTATGCTTTGGTACTTTGACGATTGATATGTCCATCTTCAAATGGGATATCTTATAACCTGTATTTCTATAATATATACAAAGAGAGAAAGCTTACAATAAATATAAAGATCAGCCAAACTGATAAAAATATAGAATAAACCGGGCACTGATGACGACTACGAAAAAATGTCTGTTACCTACTCCGTGAGAAAATTAATTAGTTAACTATTTGTAATGAAATGTTTACTTTAATCTGTAATTGCACCACGTTCAGTAAAATAAGTTTATTTATTTTCTCAAATGTACTGACGAGTATGATAATAAAATGCAGTATTACAATTCTTGTATCTTCGCTCCCGTTTGTAACAAAAATTTGTTAATAAACCATTCGTATTTGTAAATCACAAGTGTAAATTTTTCCTCCAATGGTCATTTATGACTGGAATGCTATTTGTCAAACCAAACATGATCTTATTCCCGGAATTATCATCCCGCATGCGACACTAAAAATTCTGACTAAAAAAACATGGTACAATAGAAATCAAGTATTCAACGTATGAACTTGATTCCAAAGTAATCGGGGATAAATAGTTGGTGGAAAAATTAACAAGTGGCGCGTCTTAGGGTGCAGTCACATGCTGCGTAAGTTGCGAGAACCAATCGCAAATCCGTTTAGCATTTCGGTACGAGTGTATGTGCATACAAGAGAAACTCCAATCCACTATTGGTTGTTTCAGCAAAGCCTTACGCAGGTTACGCTGCACGTGACTGCACCCTTAGTGCCTACACCCCTATTTATTACTATGGAAACGGTTTATCTCTAGATAAAGATTCGATTCGGATATAGTCTACTACCGACGGAATCATTTACGATATATGAAAGAAATAAAATAATCTAAATTATTTGCCAAAGGATCAGACTAGTAACATCTTGTGTATATTTGAAAGTTGTCCATTATTTATTTAAAAATATAGATATTAGAGATAAGTCTACTGCAGTGTACATTATATTCGATCTAAAGCTTCTAGCATTATAACGCTGTTCCCACGAATCACCTAGAAATATACAATTTATCTGAATGTACGAACATTGAGGGTAATATTACGAAACTTATTCGCATAATCCGCTCTCGTGACAGTAAGTATAAGGCCGTCGCTGAACTTACCACCATTCCAATATTGTTTTTAGTGCCGTCCTTGCACTCTTCCACGCTTTCGTCTATGACCATGTTCATGAATGGGTCGAAACCTCTCAATATCCCGACGACGCGTCGACCGCCGTTCAATTTTACTGAAAGGTGTTTCGAGAAAATCAGATTCAAGAACAGAACAGTTGTAACATAGAAATGCACTCGTGTCGCCTTTGCATACTAAAAGCGTTTGCACATCTTACGAAAAACAATAACACTAAAACTGCTTTAATTTTAATTATGTACGTTTACGGCTAGCTCCCTTGTGTCCGAGTAACGTGTTAGCTAATCAATTTGCAACGTTCGTAGCAATTGTATTGGCTACACGTGTTTTTAGACGAAGCTTAGGAAAGCTTTGTTTCACAGAAACCAAGCTCAAGTTGGCTCTATAGCAGAGAAGAAAAAATATGAATATCTTGACGATGTACTTCTTTGTCAAAAAGGTTACTTTTCAAACTTAACCTCTCAGCAAGGCTCAAGCTGGCTTAATCTTTTTCTTGTAGGTGCAACTTCGGACTTTATCAGTGCGTTGTCGCGTTATTTACTTACAGGACAGTCTTTTATCCATGTACCTGAAATTAATACGCAGGTATTAGCGGATATGCAATGCAATAAAACGACGCGTATGAAGAACGAACGACTCGCCGGTAGCGCGAGAGATCGCGTCGGCTTGCGAAAAATATACTTCACTTTTTCAGCTCCGGCGGATGTGCTTTGCTCATTTTCGCTCGATTACTTGATAAAACACCCGGCGAATCTCGTGCCCCGGTCAGTAATAACAGGACCCAAAAGTAACGCGACTTAACATAAATCACAAACAATATAGGGACACTGGAGGGGATAAACGCACGCTCGATTCTCCAAGCTTCGGCCACCTTCGGAAGAGGGCAGACGATACGTTCTTCTTTTCCCTTTCTCTCTTCTCCTTCTGCGCGCGACGATTTGTAATTTTAATCTTCTCCATTCCTTTATTTCTCGCGGAGTTAATCAGCTCTCGCACAGTAATTGAAGAAGGGAAAAAGTAAGTGATATAATTAATTCGACAATTGAAGAATTCTCTTCGCTTTGTAGGAGATAAGGAGATAATAATTCTCGCGGGAGAAAGCAAGGCGATATGGCGTTGAAAGAGCCGTGTGAGTCGGGTGTCGAGAAACGCAGAGGACAACATCTCGGTCCATATGAGTTATGGGATCGTAACTTTATTTCCTTTCCTACAACATTGGTACAACACGAAATGAGCGCGTCGCTCGTATCTTCGGGATAATCGTCGATAAAGCGTCTCCGCGGTTTCTCTCGCGATCCCGCGAGCGTCAACTACGATCGCACGAAGCACGCGCGAGCTCCCGTCGTCGCGTTCTCGCGCACGCCGAGACGCTATCGGTATAGAAAATACAAGTACGCGCATGTGTTTATAAAAGTACAACATCAACTTCGCCTCCCGACCGCAAGAAACGATACTTGTCCTCGTACGTCTCAGAAATGTGATCGCCACGCAGATAATGAACACCCGGCAGTTTCCTTCCCTCGTTAACGAATGAAGAATAAAAACATTCAAGAGAAGACTGACATCAAGATTGAGCTCAGAAGAATCCCGAAGGCGAGTCTCTTCCGGACGACGAACGGATTTCTCGTGCGATACAAATAGATTTACAAATTGCACGAAAGAACGAGCCGTTTGAGGCTTTTAATAGCTGTGTCGATATTAAGAGCGTTACGCTTGGACAGAAGTAATTTTCCCTTCGACGCTTTCCGCGAAAAGATTCGAGTTCGTAACACACAAACATTCCGAAAGACGTGTGAAACCGAGAAGATCTTTGTGGCGTTTCTTATAATTGTCTCTCTGGCCTATATATAATGCATTATATCACGGTGACACTTAGGATTATAATATTTTAGATATCATATGCGTGTCCAACAACGTATACATCAGAGTTCAACAATATCGTGAAAGCGATGGAAACGAAGGCTTCGCGATCCCCGGCGCGCATTTAAATCGCTAAATAACGTTGCCCGCTCCCCCACCCCCCGTCTTTCGTTTGCGTTAAAATCTTATTAAATGAAGAGCGGACACCGCAGCGAACGGGATTCGCTAAATCGACCTGGTTCCAATTACCGTCAAACGTGCGACACTCGATTCGCGATTAAAACTTATTCCGGAAGAACATGGACATCGTGAAGAAGCGCTATTACGATTCGATTAACGACACAAAGGAAGAGCTGGCCTATCGATTTTCTACGGTAGCGAAGCGCAATGGAGCCTCGCGAGTCTACAATACAAAGATACTAGCACATCGATCCGAATTAATCGGCTAATTTCCGTGGAATGCCATGATAAGTGTCTTCAATACACGCACTTTGAAAATACGACATATCGAGAGCCATGTAACGTCTATAAATGGTCGATCAAGGTGCGGCTGGACCCGGCATCTAGCAGTCGAGCTAATACATTCTTCGCCAGCGATCTCTGGACTGCGAAAACGTCCCCTGTCCCTTCTCGCGGCTCGCATCGGGCGAGGAAGAGATGAAGAATCGCTCAAACACCAGTAAACTTTAACCAACGAATCTAAGTACGGGATGCGCATCTTTCAACGAGGTTTCTCTCTCCCAAAACAACTTCGTTCACGCGACTTACGTCTGTAGTGAGGGGTTTTTACATTTATATTAAACGTGTGCAAAATTCTAAGCTGGAACGGATTGGCACGGCGAGTCGTGAGAGAACGACCCGCGAATGTTTCTCGCATATCATATCCGTATGTACATATATTCCTCATACGGACTATAACTCGGCTTAATTACTAGGAAGTTTCTCGGTCGTCTGCAGCCTGTACTCTCTAGGTGGATCATCGGCTTTGTCTTCCGTACATAAATATATGAAGAATACACGGAGAGTTTTATCTTGAAGTTTATCCTGAAAAATCATGCGTGGGACAACATGGCATTTTGAAGAACTTTGTGAGTTTTTGAAACTTTACCATATATTTTACCAGTAAAATGTATACTAAGTATAAATTACTAGTGAAATGTACGAAAAAATGTCAAGAAACTCATAAAATTCTACGAAATGCCGCGTTGTCCCACGAGCACATAACTTTCGGGATAAATTTTAAAAGAACGTTTTCTCCGCGCGTGTACCGATATGTTTACACGAAGAGGTACATTCACAAAGCAATCCCCTTAATCCTCAACAAATGTCGAGTCTGCTTCAGGATAATGACTCGTATAAAGAGCGACACTTCTTGGTAGACCACTAATTTACAAGTTTATCCAGCAACAGACCCCTCGATTTTGCGAATCGACTCCCTCCCGACGGGACCACCATTCTTATGTTACAATGAACGATGTACATCTTAATTTACACAGTTAAAAAATTAAGTGTAACGCGCGCGAAGTAATCTTATAGAGATAATTAGGATGTCAGTTGTACTTGAGACGTCGAGTGCGGTAAGTACAGCGATGAATTTAACAGCGTGGCGCGCAACAAGAACAACCGATGAGGTACGTTAGAGATCTAAAGGACCTACACCGCGAATGCATGCCCACGCTTACAGTACACGGTTTACATCTCGCAGTATATTCGCCGCCGAGGATGGCGGCACGATAATAAATATAAGAAATCTTTGGTCGTACGTGAACGCCCGGACGAAGGCAGTGAGAGCGACCCTCTCGTGGCGCGTCCAAAAATAATACCTTTGGCAAAAATGAGGAAGCTCTCGGGTTCCGATTGGATTTCAAGTAACAACGAGATATCCCGCGGAGGGCGTGAAATCTGACACCTAAGTAGTTAAGTACGTTGTCCAATTACGCGAGTATATAGCTTCAACGGTCCACGGAGGAGCGAAAGGCGTCTAAAAGAGGCCTGGTCATCTACCGAGGCGCGCAGGATGTCTTTTAAACGTCTTTACGGTTACTTTTAGACATGTCATTCGGAGTTCTAGGCGACCCCTGGATTGTTGCACGTGGTGTGTTAAGGGCGCGCAGCTCGCAGCTTTAAACGCGGCGTCCGGCTCGCGCGTTTCTTGCACAATTTCTCTGCCGATTACGCTAGTGGAATGTAGTTACAGTACTCAGATTTTGCGATAGTTTTAATGGATCGGATTGATATGCCGCCGCGGCGGAAACGCGCCAAATGCCTCGCGATTCATTTTGACCTCGTCGACGACAAACGTCGCATATTTAATCCTTTCGATACCGAATTTTACTACGCTTCTTACAGCGCGAATAAAGTCTCGTCTTATCGCAAATCGCCGGAACTCATCTCCGAAGGGTTGCAAAGTGAGATATAAAAAAGGAACTTGAAACGTATCAAATTTTCTTCCCATTAAAATGCCGAGTCTTTCTCTATATTTCTCTCGGAGTTACTTTCGTCCACAGAAATGTGTCGCGCCTGTACGAGCCGAGCACGAGTGGTACCGAAAGGGTTAAACACATTTTCTGGTTCACACAACGCGATTGACGTCACTGCGGGCAACGAACGCCATACGTTATCAAACCATCGTCTCGCGAAAGATCTTCACTGACGAGTCCGCATGCTTGGTGTGCACGTATCTCGTTATCGTTCTGACGGCGTTGTTGTTGTTGTTGATGCCGTTGAGCAGCTCGCCGCTCCTCAGCCCGGACTTGGCCTCGGTCTGCATCTCCCTCGTCGTTTCTGCAGCCAGGAACGACAATATCGTTCTGAGCGACAACTGTTATCATGCATTGCCGTGAAAGATGAAACTGAATTGACATCAAACGAGGCTCTACCGACGCTACTTGGGCGGCATCGATCTCGCGAGTGGAATAATTTCCACGTTTCTCGAGTCCGGATGAAAGCGTTAATTCGCGAATCTCCTTTTTATCGCCGAGGGGGCGATAAGTAAAATTATTCCGGAGTCGAATCGCGTATCTCAACGCCGGAAAGATAATCCTTATTATCGTTCCGCGTAAGAATGACGAAACGGCGATGAAAATTATCGCCCGTACAGCACGGAAGCTTGCAGCCATATTGCAGCCAAATTGCTGCGATGTGGCCGCAAGTTCTGCGTGGCTAAAACTATGCACAGACACATCTCCCTCAATGTGCAACAAACAACTACGACTAGACACCAAGTGACACCAAGACGAGTAGTGGCCGGGCATGCGAGAAATCCGCGTCGGAGACGCGCACGTTCCGCATCTCGGCACCGAGCTTCTCGCATACCGATGCCTGTTTCTACCAATGCAGATTCGGATCAAAAATTTGACGAGTCTAATAAGCGACGTTTCTAAGTAATTCACTTAAATTTTGCTCTTTCATACATCTACAACTTTACGCTATATTGTCGATATCATAAAAAGCATCGATGCGTCCTTACGTCGCTTATTAGCGACTCGTCAAATTTTTGATCCGCATTTGGTACCCTGTCGGAAATAATTACTTATACAAAATTCTACAAAAAAATTAAATACAACTGCCAGAATCTAAGAAATTCTACGTAAATTTGAAAAGTGTTATAAAAATCAACATGAAAATGCTAGAATTGGAGCACTTTTGTTAATTTTGTAACATTCTACAAGTAAGCAGATGTTTTAATTCTTTAAGATTTCGTTGTATGTCAAATTGTTAAAACTAGTAAAGTTTTGTACTAATTTTCACAAAATTGCACAGTAGATATTTTGACAAAAAAATTAATGTTTCAACGAAGATATAAAAATTTCTACAAATTTCTATTACACGTCAATTTTTTGTAGTTATTTGTAGAAATTTTTTCCGCTAGGGTGTCTGATTCGAATTTGGTCACATTACCCTGACATTAATCTCGGTTTAATTTACTTTCCACCTTCTTCCAACTGTGACAACTAGCGCGAGATAAAGAGAAAGTTAAACCGAGATCAAAATTAATCTACACTGGCAGAGACGGACACGAGTGTGTTAGGACAGGTGGTTAATGACACTCTGAGACGCAGCAACGCAGATCGCGGAAGCGCATCCGTTGTACGATCCTTACCGTGTGCCTCCCTTCTCGGGCGATCGCGCGTCACGAGTCGCCGCAACATCGGCGACGTTTCCGTCGTTGCAAATTACGATTGTGCATGACGGGAAATTGCGGGCGAGCGATAAACGACATAACTGCGCGGCAGTAACAAAAAGAAGAGAGAACGTAAGCGGTGAGGCGAGAGATAAGGATTAAGCAGAAATATACTGCTGAATATTCTGAAAAGGCGTATAAATAGGCCGGATTTTTGTAGAGTCTCGTTATCGACCACGTTTACGGCGTGAAACGCGAGCGTGGCGTGATACCTTGAGAGAGAACGTCCGGGCGCAGCGTACGACAGAGTAATACGTTATTATTTTTGCTTTCCAATTTTTTTTCTCTCCCCCTGCCGTACTGCGCTCCACGATTAGGATTTGCGGCCGCCAGCGGTTATTGGAAGTGCGCAACGTGCGGAAAATTAAATTAAAATATACACACGCTGTGTACGGGTGTGTGTGAAGCGATAATCGATAAGTGTAACCCCGAGATAAAAGGGAAGTGCAGCAAAATCGCCATTCAGCAGCAATAAGGCACACGACAGGCGCTCCCGTCACACAATAAGACACACGTTAGCCAGTTTTTCTACGGGACTCTCGTCTGAACGGAAATTCGCTCTGTTCGCTTCGTTCGGCCTCGAGAGCAGGCTCTTGTCGCAAACGGCCCTGTACGTCCTACACAGAGAGCGTTAAAAAATAATATATAATCATAAATCTAAAAATAATGCAACTGACAAGTGCTCTGCTCGCCGCGACATCGAATCGTTGACGTTTCCGACGGTCTCCACACCGCGACTATGTGCTACTAAAAAGAGCGTATCGGGAAAGAAACAAAGGGACGAGCAGGTCGCGCGTTATTCGCTGTCCCTCGAACATTTTTCTCGCACCGCGGCTTTCTCGCGATTGTCGTGCGCGCGAGACGGCAACAGCACGCTCTTCGTCGAACTCGAGAGAGAGAAGAATTATGGCCCGATCGCATTTTTCGTCGCACGGGAACAAACTGAAACTGGAGGAGACAAATAAAAAAAAAAGCAACGTTCACGTGTATGAAAAATAAAGTTGTATTTATAAAATGGGGCGGAGGGGGGGGGCGGGGCGGAGGGAGGGAAAATATATTATATCGTCTCGTCGACGAGCTATGTACACTCCGAACGAAGAGGAATTCGCGATACATCCTAGATCAGCCTACGCGGTAGAAAATAAAACAAAAATGCAGTACAACAGCGTCGGGGGGTCTCGACCCCGTCGCCCGTCGCAGATTCGTCGGTTTAAAAACTAGTATGGCAAAATCGGGAAACGACCGGCCGCGGACCCTCCGGGCGACCGTCGAGGAGGAGCCGCCTCGCGGCGTCGTTTCGCGCGCGAACGGAGAGAGGTATAACGTTAAGTCACAATTGTCAGCGACATTACTCCACGCCTCGCCCGCGTGGCAAGAATTCGAGCGAAACGGACGTAATCGCGAGCGCAGTCAAACGCCAAAGTTGCCGGTCTATCGTCGCTAGCGATACGGTTCTCCGTCTGAAGACGAGGGGTGAAGCACCGACGAACCGAGGTGCTGTACATGGAGTAATGCGCGCTCTAACACCATAAGTAAGCTCGAACTTCCGTCCGTTCCCCAACTCGGCGGACTATTGAGGGATCCACTTTACTTCAACTCGCGCAACGCGTCCACCCGGCGGGCACAGGATGTAACTGCAATATTACACAACGTGAAAGTAACATGCGATATAACGGCAGCTGTTATACGGTAATTATATGTAATTTTTCTGCAATGATGGACAGAATGGTTGCGACACTTTTAAATGAGTTTAGGAACGAGCATTTAAATTCTTCTCCGAGGAACATTTTACTCGATTATTTTACTCCATCTTGAGCGCTTCCGATCTATTTTGCAGGTATAAAAGCCACCTCTAAAGGTGGCCGATGAGCCTTCTGATTGGCTACAAGCTACTTTTAGAGGCGTTTTTATCGATAAAAGAGGTTTCAGAGTACGGGCCTAGGAATTGCTGATGCCTTACCAATTTCGGCACAGGTAGAACACATATACGTTTGCCATGTACATGCAAAATGTATAAATGTGTTGATATGGACACAGATTCGTGTGGGAAGGCAGCAGCGATTCCTAGTGTACGTACAATATAACTGTCCTTTATAACTGTTACATTATTCCGTTATGTACTGCAATAGTTATCACTTGGACATTGATGATAACATGAGCACGTGTTACGTGTCATGTAAATGTTATACAGCAACGTCGCACAAATTTATCGCGTACAATTATATACCTGTTATAAAACTAATGTCGTTTAAACGAGAAATTACAAATAACATACGTGTCACATGCATGTTTTATCGCACGTTACGTTTCATTAAGGCTACATGATAGTTACACAACTGTGTTGGCCGAGTGTAATGACTTCTCTCGTCCGTTAGTTAAAACTTTGTTCGTCCGCCAACGCTCGTAGCTCACGCTCCCCCCGAAACCTACCCCCGGGGACGATCAAATTAGCAACGATAAAGTAACTGTACATCATACCGTCGCGCGATCAACACATCCGTCACGTAAATTAATATCTTCTCAATTAACAGCGAATTTAGCTTTGGCAGTAGAGTCCTCTTAGTCCACGCGCTCGTAAAGAAAACCCGAATAGATCCCTTCTTGGCGAAGACGCGGTACGTATAACGGCGATATTACGCGTAAGGTTCTATAAAAAGAAAAGGAAAACAGAAAGGGGACACTCGCGCGCTTCGCGATACCACCGTGAATCCTTTCTCGTCGCGCGACGTGGAATGAAAGTGATACGTACGCGAAATGGTAGAACGGCACAGACGATACAACGGCAATACTATTGAATTACGAGAGGAGAGATATGGTTACATAATAAATAAAAAATATATACACGTCTATAAATCTAGGAGCAAATTTCGTAACAATCGTATACACATATATAATATGTAACGTAAGGACAAATAATCAAGGACAAGAACACTGCGAGGTAATAATTTCCTTGAAAACGAGTACCTTAACCATGCGTATCAAGGATCTGGGCACACGATGGACTTTACGTTTAAAATTAGCATAATAGGATAACGTGGCACCGCTCGCGGAAGTGCCTCGTATACTGGTAACGATTTCGTCAGTCCGTACGTATTGTTTGGCACCGTACAGCGGCGTAACTACATCACTACTTTCATACGCACACGCTCTAAATGACGTAACATTACGTAACGTGGTTATAGCACTCACAAATTGTACGACTATAACGGGGAGGAAACAGTTTTCTATATCACTCGGGTATTTCCTACAAACATTTCGAGTGCCATGCACGTGCAGAGCGTCGTTTCACATCGAGATGTTTCACGCGGGACATGCACGGGGTCGGTCGGGCGAGAAAGCCTAAATAATAAAAATTCTATCCTCTTTCTACGGCGCGCTCGGGTCACTTTAAAACGTCAGCGGCAATAAAAATGTCCTTCTTTTCGCGATATGCAGTTCCTTCGACGATCATTCGTACAAATCAAGAAACGTATTGCATTAACAATTAATTATCGTCAGCGAGAGAATAATTTACAACACCGTGTGAAAATAAATTATAGTCGTACACGAAGCGACGATGTATGACTAACGCTATCTCGATCACTACTTAGCACATCGAGAGAATAGCACGAAAACGAGCAAGTAAAGTCTATGAAAGGAATACTTTATATAAGTAGAAACAAAAGGGTTTGCTATCGCGATTGCTGTCGCGGCGACGGCAATTGTTGCATCCGAGACCAATCGAGAACGGAGGAGTCTCGCCTCGACAAAGAGTCATATCCGCGCGAAATTTTCCGATAGAATAAGCCACCGGTGTCTCTCTCTTTCTCCGCTCCCGACTCGGATGCAACGATACGATAAATAAAACGAGGAACATCATACGCAAACTCTAAAATGCAGACTAAAGCGGATCCTCAGGATATTACGCAACAACACTTTTTACACCTAGTCCGCCTTCCCATAATGTTGCTCTTGTACCGTTCGGTAACTCTGTAAGCTTTCGACTTTAATCTATCGTTTCCTGCGTGATCACTGATATCCTGACTGTGTGCCGAATTGCTTCTCGTCGTGTTCTTCGAGGCGCACGTCTTGTGCTTGCCCTCACAACTGACAATCTCCGCGTCGTGACTTACCGCTTGTGTATCTGGACATATCTTTATCACATGGCTGTCGCGATCTTCATCTCTGAGAGGCTTAATCCCCGCACGAGCCCTCGTGCACGACGTGTCACTGATCTCCACGTTTACTCTGTTCGCGTCGGTTTTCTCGCGTCTTCGCCGTAACGCCTGCGAACTCGGTTGATTCTCCAAGAGGATTTCGGTGCACTGCACGTTCTTGAAGCAAGATTCATCCGGAACGTTCTGCTCCACGGCCAATTTGTCGTTCGTCCTATCGGAAACCACGTCGTCCTGCGCGTAAAACCCATCTCCCGCTCGCGTTTCTATTATTTGACATTTCGTCTCCTTACACATATCGCATTCTTCCTCGATGAATTTTCCGTCGTCCTCTTCGAAGTACAAGTCTTTACTCGACTCGTGGTCTTTCGAGTACGCATCGTTTTCCTTATCTACTATACCGTCTACACTTGAGCTCAATCTGTTGCCCTCTTCCTCGTCCGTTTTGTCGCAAATCTCGTCTGACTTCTCCGAACTCACAGCCTCGCCGCTCAGCGTCTTCGTGCGACCGTCCGAGTACGTGCTCAATTTGTTTTCCGAATAACTGCTCAATCGGTCGTCGTGGAAGTACACCGAGCTCGCATTCGACTCGAAGTTGCTCGCGTTTATTATGGCTATTCGCGGTATGATCAGATCGGGCGGCAGTCCGTCAACGATGTCCGGGGGACTCGAGTTCGAGGAGGACCGGTTGGCAAAATTACTGAAGGAATGATAGCCCTGCTGACCCTTGCTCTGGACCCAGGCCTCCGTTAGAACGTGGGAGCGTTGCCACGACACGTCGCTGTTGCATCGGTTCTTCCTCACGCACCACTGCTGATCGTCGGCGTCGGGCCAGGAACGCAAATGGTACTCGCTGGGACTCCTCTTGATGTCCGAGACGTCCACTTCCCGCTGCGCGTCCTCGTGCCTCTTGTTCTGCACAATCAGCTCCAGCCTGGACTTGAGCAAGGCCGGCGACACGGCGCGGTCGATGTGTCGCCTCGTTGTGCTCGACGCGTGAGCCGATCGCGGCAACGACGTCGCGTTGTCGCCGCCGACATTGTTGCTGTCGATATGATCGGTAAACATATCCGGGACCTCGCCGGAGGCCATCAGCGCGTTCGGACTCGGACTGTCCATACTATCTGGCGTGTAGGGATCATGCTTAATAGGTATTGCGTGCAACAGATTAGACGAACGGTCAATGGAATTCACGCGCGCGTTAGCGTAACTATTACAATCAGGCAACATGGACAACAACTCCAGGTAACTGTTGGGCACTCGGAAGCAAAACTCAGGTGCAATTGGCAAGTTGCAGCAGTCTATCATACCTGCGTCCGAGATGAGATTAGCCTTCAAGTAGACTGGCTGTAAATGGCAAAAAAAAAAGATAACGAACCTTTATGTATCATCGTGCGTAATGGCGAGAAGATGATGAGACGAAGGGTGATATGTGAATTGTATTGTAGGATTCTATGGGAGGGGCGGAGGCGGTCTCAAGCTAACGTTCTGTCTTCATTCAAAGGGATAATGACATACCACAGTAATGTACTTTTCAATCTGTTGACTTTGTATGCGACTACCGCTACCAAACGTACGCGTAGAACTTGGAGGAATCGATATTTCCAATGTTATAACAATTATACAAATTAATTACGGAAATGATAATAGTTCTTTACACGTTTACAAATTTATATCTCTGTACACAATTCTACCAAAGTTTGTAATGTTGCGTTTATATTATAATGTTGCTTGTAGATTATATAATGATAAACAGTTAAATTTAATGTATTGCATAAGTAATATAATTAATTAACAACGTAGTCTACTTTGTTGTGTACATCAGCATTGATTTTCTGCAGTATAATGTTCGCAAAGTTAAATTTTTAAGTAATCAGCTGTCAACACGATTACCGCCTTTCATTATGTTATCATACAGTAACGAGTATTCTCGTCGTGTAACCGAAATACTTATGTATTGTGTAATGAAATGTTGTTCAGCATTAGAAAAAAAATTACAAAAGGCGTTACAATGCGTACTGATAATTAGATTGAAAAAGTACAATTGTTCCATGACGATAACGACAGTGAAGCTGATAAGAATTATGAGAGAAAGAGAGAGAGAGAACAGAGAGATCTTCAAAGTAACGTAGAAGTAAAAATACTTCGGGACACTACGTGTGTGGAGGTGCTACATTAAACAAGCCCCTATATGTTCATTGTCGAGATAACGGAATACTAACAGAATGAAGAGACGTGAAAGAGATGTTGGGGATTTCAGATAAGAACAGACAGACAGTTCATAGATAGGTACCTTAGTGCTTAAAGATTCATTCGAAACTCCAGAAAAACAGGCTGCACCATAATAATTGAAAGAATGGATCATCAGAATAAGAACTAGGCAGTGTGTAAGTATATGTTTTCAGCATAATAAGTAAAAAAAAAGTCGCAGTATCGCTTTATAAATGTAAGAGAAAGATGCTGGTTGGAAGACTCTTAATCTTACCTTGTGATCACCCATGCACGTAGTCGGGCCGATTACGCCGTATTTCACTGCCTCGGAATCGTCGATCTGTACAGAAGAAGGCGAAAGACCCATTAGACTGACGGTTTTTACGATTCACTTTTAGAATCGCTCTCTCGCATCTATCGCGAATATAAATCTCACAGAGACACGTACATCTTTGACTAGCGTTTTCGCAGTGGGACTCAATAGAACCCGATCGCACCAAGCCGGCACTCTTGTTTGCATGTAATTTACAGGCTCATTAATATCCTCTTGAAACGGATAACTCGGCACGAAGCTGATTGGAAACTCGAACAGCCTTCCCTCAAAGTCTCCCAGTTCTTTGTCGTACTCGCGTAGCTGCATGAATATTAATAATTTTATTATTGGATCGAGTCGTATTAAATGCATATATGCATAAGTGGGACGTACAACTTACCCATTCACCCCCATTTTTCATGAAAACGTTCTGATGCTCATAGTGAGAAAATTCCTTTTTGCCTAACGTTAATACGAGATCGTCGTCTCTATTGTGAAATTGCAATTTCGAGATATTTCCCTTATTCGATAACCTCTTTTCTTGAGTATCTTCTGTCAGTTTCTATTAAAGATAAATTTAAAACATTCTGTAATACATTGAACTTTGATATAACTATCTCACTGATATACAACGACGTAATATAATATACAAAGTAAAGCACGGCTCGTAAAGATCGTTAAATAATGTTGCTTTTAACAGTGATTTATTTGCGAAAAATTAATATGCTTTCAAGTGTATGAGCCTGATATATTGGTGTCTCTTTATCTGTCTCTAATTTCTCCCATGCTATTAATCGAAATCTTATCGTGACTGCTGATGAGTCTCACCTTTATTACACTTGCTGTATCTGTTCTAAAATTAAAGTCACCAAATAAAAAATACGGCACATTCGGGTACTTGTCATTATGAAATCTATCTAACGTGTGCTCGAGCGCTCTTCTGCGCGTTTTACTGTATACCGATGGGAACTGCAAAGAAATTGTTAAAATAAGATAAGTGGGAAAACTAAACGACGCGCGCACACGAATGTACACTAATGTGCGCGCGAGATAACGCCCGTAAAAATTGCTTACCGTCTCCATAGCAATGAAATTGCTCGCGTCGTGAAATAAGTGTATGTTTATGAGATCAAAAACGGTTCCACTAATACTCCATCGGGTGCGCAGGAAACCCTTTCTGGACCACTTGCATTCCGGGAAGAATTCTTGAGGAAACTTGGCTTTCTCTTTGGTAGTCACCGCTTCTATATTACCCGAATGGAGTTCCTCCCCATTGACGGATACGAAAGTACAATCTAAAAAAAAAAAACAAATCGCACAACAATTTAAGACATTGTTGCGTACGACCGGTCGAGCGCTATTCTGTCTAAACGCGACGTACCATTAAAGTCCCACAGTAAAACATCACTCAAGGACTCGTGCACGAAGTAGAAATTCCCTAGAGCCTGCAAAAAGTATCTTGCTAAGTGAACATTGCTTCGTCAAAAGTGACGGATCGTTCGCCGAGAAAGCGTATCCCGCAACTCACTGTGAAATGTTCAGCGGATGAATAATCCTCGTCGAGGAATATCCTGTGTTTGTCGAACAACCTCAGCTCTTCCGACGACATAAGTAATCTGCAAATAACGTGTTTCGTTAGGGCCGCAGACGGGGGAGGCACAGAGGCCTCGGAAAATCTCTTATAAATACATTTTTCAAACAACTTTTTTTTTCTGTATGTAATATATGCATTCCTCCCCTGTCGATATCATACAATCGGCTTATCTTTTGAAGTGGCTCGCTCGACTATGGAGCCACGCGTGACGCCCTCTATTTTTATCCCTTTCTGCCGGTTATGCGTTAAATCATATTCAATACCACGTATGCGGCGAGAGAAAGCTGTTTGTTTTGGTATATTTATAAAAGGCTTAGATATAATATCGACACAATGATAAAGATCAAAAGTGAAAACGCTACGGATATAGGCTGAGACAAAAACAGCATCAGGCGAGCGTGTTCAGGCTGTTATCTTAATAATTTAATTACAGCCAAATATTATAGCCTCTTGGAAACCTTGCAAGAGAAGCGCCAATATATTATAATAAGATTACAACAAGGATTTGCCCCCGGGATCTGCGTGAGGTTCGTTCCACGCACGTGTAATTTATCGGTCCGCGTATGAAAATTCGTCACGTGCTCGGTCGAGGGCGATCAACGGTGACAGACCGAGACAACGCCACCCGCCTGTCTCTGTATCGCGGGGAAAGGTCGAAGCCGAAGACGGGGAATGCGACATTTACCTAGCAAAGTCCGCCACGTGCCTCATGCTCTGCTCGTAATTCTTTCCACCTACTTCTTGGCAGTGCAGCGCTATAAATTTCGGATCCAGCCTCGATATGGTCTGAAAAAGGAGTCCGCTCCGTGAAAAACAGGCTCCGCTCGCGCTCGGGCACCGAGGCGCGCGGCGTAAAAGCCGCGAGGCGGGTAAAAAGCCCCCGAGGGGGGCGGCTGGATACTCACGGATAAAAACTCTTCCGTCCATATCTTCAGCATGACACTAGGCTGCAAGGAGAATCGCTCGTATCAATCTGTGAATCCTTCATACTTGGTGGACTTTAAAGAAAAGCTTAATGAGATGTTCGAGGGCGCGCGGGACGTTATTAATAGATACCGTTAACGTCACGCGCAGGGGTACATCTCGGCGCGCACCGCCAACCCCCGCTCTCCCTCCCGGTGGCGCGACGACGAGAGGATTCATCTCCGGCGCTTTTTCGCATTTCGCGCCAACGGCGACGGGTCGATCGCTCGATCGATCGATCTCTTCTCGCGAGTCCCCCGCGTCCCGAGGGAGAAAATCGCGCGGGAAGCATCAATTATAATCAGCGAGCGCGCACGTTCTCCAACCCTTCCCTCCGCGACGTAGGGCCCCCGGCAGAGGTGTCCGAATCGCCTCGAATTCTAATCTAATCGAGTAGAATCGTTCCGAAGGTACGGTTCGATTCGCTTGCGAAACAAAGTGATTCGAACTCGAATGATTCCATGGCCTCGAATCTGTTTTTGCCTTCGATAAATGTACGCAGTTGGAACATTTGTGTTTTCTTGTTTAAAAAATTGCCGGTTAAAATTTTTGCGTTCAATGTTTAACACATTCATTTGTTAATTTAACATATTGCTCTTGTGTTAATTGACCTCAAATGTGAAGTTATTAAAATAACTGAAAAGAAACGTCAAAACAACACAATGTGTACACGATGTTACATTTTTAAAAATTCATTTTGTCATTAAAAATGTGTGTAATTTTACACAAAATTTATCTCACGATGCTAGAACGTGGTCCGAATTCTAGTTCCGAGAAACCCTATATGTATATGTAGCCAATCAACTTGCAGCTTTCATGGAATAGCTGAGCTTGGCCCAAGTTCTAGCATCGTGGAACATAGGCCTTAAGAGAGAATTTCTTTTGTATCGAAAATGAGCTCAGAATTGGCGACGCAAAAGCGAGTTCCTTTCGAATTTGAAGAACGTTTTCTCAGGACGGGAACGAGACGGCGAGAGAGAGTTCATTTTACAACTCGGCAATTCGAGAAGTTTTTGGGATACCCTGTGCTGTTGTGCTTAAAGCCTTGTGTCCACGATCCAAGAACTGCGCCCAAGTTCTAGTTCCGAGAAATGTGTAACCAATCAGCTTGCAGCTTTTATGGAATAGCTGCGAGTTAATTGGCCACACATTTCTCGGAACTAGAACTTGGTCCAAGTTTCGAGAAACGCGTAGCCAATCAACTTGCAGCTTTTATGGAATAGCTGTACGTTGATTGGCTACAGATTTCTCGAAACTAGAAACTTGGACCGAGTTCTAGCATCGTGGACATTGGGCTTTAGACTCGGCCAGCAAGTTGACCTCGTTTGTCGTCGCCTCTTAGCGCCAAAATGTTGCCGAAATCGTCATTTCGACGCCAAGCGGCGGCGAGTAACGTAACACATCAACCTCGCCAGGGTCGTTTGTTTTCGTTTTCACGCGCAGGCCGGGGCTCTCGGCTCCCATTTCGAGATCGTCTCGAGTAACGTCTCGACGGTGGGACGCCGATACGGCTCGGAGATTGGCTTGCAACGGCTCGAGATTGTACTCGAGACCGTCTCGAATACAAGAACCAACTATGAATACCAGGCCCGTAATCGCGCCCGTCGCGTCGACCGTCCACGTTATTTACGTGAATCTTCTCCTCGCCCGCCACGGCGCCGGGAAAATCGATACCGGGAGCGCGGCAGAGAGCACTCGCGAGGGGGGAAGGGGGGGGGCGAATCTCTCAATTCGGTAATCGATCGTTCAACGACGGCTCCCCCGCCTCCTCCCTCGAGTACGCGGCTCGAGTCGCGAAAAGATCCCCGGCTCGTCGGAACGACGTACGTTTCGTTCGGCGCTTCTCGAATCGAATAGACGCACGGCTGGGGGCGGCAAAGGAAAGAGAGAGAGAGAGAGAGAGAGAGAGAGAGAGAGAGAGAGAGAGAGAGAGAGAGAGAGAG